GCAATACACCTCAGGGAGCGAAATCCAGATAGCCTGGTGGAGCTGGCAGAGATGGCTCAACATTATCTGACCGCCCACAAGAGAGAGCTCAGCAAGGAGGAAGAAGAAAAGGAGAAGAAGGCAACTCAAAGCCGCAACCGCACACAACCTTGGACGGCGCGCGGGGGTAGCACTAGTTCCTGTTACACATGCGGTGACCCTGGCCACTTTGCAAGGGACTGCCCTGTATCTAAGGAGACGCGACCCACCGAGGCTAACTCCTTCTTCACCAGTACAGGAGAGAAGGCCGGGCAACAGGCAACCTTCATCGTCGCAGGCCAAGTGGAGGGAAAGAAGGTCCCGTTGCTGTTGGACACTGGCAGTACACAGACGCTGATCAGAGAGGACCTGGTGGATCCGACAAAAATCGCACATGACAATCAAGGCGGCATTACTTGCATTCATGGCGATGAAAGGAAGTACCCGACTGCACAAGTAGAGGTCCAGATAGGACACAGAAGCTACAAGATAAATGCGAAAGTGACCCCAAACCTCCCACACCCCGCTATACTCGGACGGGATGTTCCCCATCTTGCCGAACTGGTACAGCAGTGCGCATCTGGAAGGCTGGCACGGGAGTCGCTCGTGGCTACGAGGGCTCAAGCACGCAAGGCAGCTCAGGGGTTTATCGGCTTACAGAAAGCAATGCAGCAATCTGGAGTTCAACCGCGGCAATTCTTGTCAACATTCGGTCGTTATAGTAATGGTTATGATCGTGGCGGCACCAAGTCGTACAACTTTGCCGGCTATAGACCAAAACTGCGCCTGGCTGCACGTACCAAACCCATTGGGAGCCCTCATCTCCCAGCACCAGGGAAGGCCCAGTGGCGCATATTTGGTGGCGCCAAACCGGTGGACACAGCAGCGAGGGAGCGCATGATTGATGAGAAGCTGTCACAACAGAAGGTTAGGGTGTGGAGGCACCCCACCTGGGGTTGACGCATCGGGCGGGAAAGGCCAATGCCAACGCCGACGCGCTGTCCCGGGCCTAAGACAATGCCCTATGCACGGTGCTCAGTACTAGTACTAGTAGGACTCTCTAGTGTTACGTAGGATCTTAGACCATTATCCATTATGGCTGTTAGAGAAAGGTTTCTGCATGTTAAACTGTCATTGTTACTAATGATTATGTAGTACATAATGTGTTTGTATTAATTTGTTCATAGCGGTTGTTGACGTTGTTATTGCTAACGTTCAATTAGACGTGGCGCCTTGTAGCTAACCTGTTTGGACCTCAGTGAAAGGACACATTCATATATACTTTAGATCATGTAGGATCCGTTTTCTATTGAATATTTTATAGTTTTGTATAAGTCAAAGCATGCGAACCACCGGACCTGGGTCATTAAGACAGAGAACGTTGAGTTTTGTGATTGAAGGTAGAGTTTCAATCACGAGAAAAGGGGGCAGGTGTGACGGAGCACATGTAATGGCTTTGGGTAGGCCCAATGAGGGGAGCGTGGGGCCCGGAATCAGGCAGTTGGGCCCAAGCTAGAGAGGGGGAAGGTCCGGTGGAGGACTGTTGTAGACCTCTTAGGAAAAGCATTAAACGTTCAACTCGCTCAACTCGGCTCATTGTCTGACATATCTCTACTTAAAACTAATATAGTACGCATACGTGACAGTGAGTGGATATGTAATACATAAAAAGGTAATAGAAACAAAATTACCTGAGCCAACTTGGCTGTCTTCACGGCCACTACCGTCTGGTAAATGCGTACCCACTCCCACCACCAGCTGAGTAGTACAATGGTACAGAGAACAGCCCAGCACCGACTCCGTGCACTGTACCTACGTATACGTCCTGCTACTTGCCGCAACATTACTGTACGGACGTGAGTTTACCTTAGAATTAATATTATATCAAGACAGAGACTGTTGAAACATCATGCTAAGTTGAAATGTGCTACGTGTACGGGAAGTCCCTCTCACAAAGATATAATAGAGATGACGACATATTTAGATTCATCCAACGCCCATGTTTCAGGGTGGACGACCAAAACCTCTTTACAAAAAAGAGCGTTTCAAATGCCATACATTTTGTTCACAGTATCGTGGGATTGACCTCAGTTGGAGGAATATAAAAGGATTTACAAGCTTGTCAGTTTTAATAACTCGAAGAAGTTAATAGAACAGGTAGCAACGATGTATAAGGTGTACACTCCCCTGGTGCTGTAATGTGAACGAGCCTGAACAAATAATTACCTGCGTTACGAAGTTCCTCTTTTTGCTCCGCCCACCGAAACCAAGGATGCCGAAACCTAGCATGTCTCCCCTGCAGTTTCTGTGTATTCCGCCAGAGGGCATTCACCATCAAGGGGGAAAGTTTGCCATTTTACTATCAATAATAATTATGTTGAAAGTCGTGAATACTTTGAAGAGTGTGTGAATGGGGAACACACCTTTAAAGCAAAAATATGAAGAAAGTCCAAGCAAACAAAACAGTCGAAAAGATTTGAGCAGACATTTTATTTTTCCCATTCCCCATTTTTTTTAAAGAAAAAAAAAACAGATTTTTATTGTGTTGTGACATAAGAGTAATATCCTCAAAAAAGATTATGGATACACCTTCCTCATCATTATATACAAATCTTGCCGATTATTTACATGTATCATTCCTGAAATTTCTTCCTTAGGCCAAAGCATGTAAATTCTATGGATGACACGGACAGTAACAGCAACTTGGGCAGACGTATTTATATTTACTTTATACAGAACCATCACCCCTAACAACGACGTGCTAACAACAATGGTGTTAAAATTCCAGAAATGTGACAGAGAATTTCCATACTGAGGTGTGGGCGTTGTTGCGTGGAACACAGCCCCTGAGTTTTGATATACATGATGTACAAACTTAATGACTTTCTACCTGCATATCAATTGTGTGAATGGCTTGAATACATGTTTATGTTTTTAAGACTAGTCAAAAGGCTCCGTTGAAAAGTTAACTCCATTTATATCGTATTGGTTATTCAACATGCGTTTTGTACATAATGTTACATACACGGAAATAAAGTCTCTCGTTCATACTGCGGAAAGAATGGTATAGACCGCCATTCGCCATGCACATTCAAGATTCAACATATCTTTATTGAGCTATCGCAGTGAAAATATCACTGAATTGCTGTCAATTTACAGACAATTTGTTTTAATAATGCTCACAAAGACATATAATATTGCACATAATTCTGAATCCTTTGGTTAAATACATGTACACGCAATATTTGGAGTTATTCAGTTTCTCACGTTTCATTTAGATAGCAATAGTTGGACGTCATGGCATGTCGTCAAACATATTGCCTGTTTCCTGTGGTTTTATAAGAGCGTTCTCGCAGCTTCGCGTCACATCATTTGCGGATTGGGATACTGGCACTAGGTCGCTTCTGAAATCCCTGTGGAGTAGGATAAGTACCTGCCCGTCCGGATCCAGGATGAGGGGCCTGCTTGTAGCCGTCTCTCTGATCTTTATCTGCAAGGATGTTGTCAGTGGTAGGAAACTTTTAATTTACTCTATGTTTGTTGGTATGAATCTTGATTTTTGATTGATTTTATTGTTTGCACATTAACAAAACAGACAATAATAATACAAAACAATGATACAAACAGGTGCAGGAGGAGGGGAGAAGCATGGAATGCTTATACTAGGCCCTCCTCCTCTAAACTATACAAAATGAAATATAATCAATAAATGGAAATAATACAATAGAAAGTGGAAATAATGCAAAATCTTGATAGGGACAGTTTCTTCGAAGGTTATTCAAAGGTTTCTGTGTACAAAAACACCATAGGCTGAGCTGCGTGTGACGCAGATTTATTTTCAGTTTAATTTTTCCACCTTTAATAAGGATTTCGCTTCTTTAAATTTAAGTAATATTGGTAAGCCAGAAATACCTTCTGTTTTTGTCTCAAAGCAGCTTTCTGCGCCGTACAGTTGACATCACTGCTTCTTGGGGGCCAACAAGGCTGTATACTTGCTGGTAGACGTATTCGTTTGTCTTATGCTGAGATGCCAAGCAATCTCCGCAGGGACTTTGTTTCAAAAGCTTGTATCCTGTGTTCTGTGTTAGAAGCGTCCATGTTTCGCATCCATACAGCAAGATCGAAACTACCAGGGATTTGTACAGTTGGAAAAGAACCCACAGTCCAAGGCAACGACGATACCGAAGTCCCAATGCTCGATAGAAAGCAATTCCGTTGATTTTTGCGCGATCCTCTTTTGAAATCCAAAGAAGCGATTAACTGTGCGAGGAGCACGGGTTTTTGCTGTCAATAAGAAAGATAATAGAGACGTTCAAATAATTTCCATTACAACTTAAAAAAATAACATGACTCATAGGCGTGTATTGTCCACACGGGCAGTGACCGACTCGGCGAATTTTTACAGAACAAGCCTTGTTAAAGGGGTTATGCTAGCCTGACATAACTTGTAAGAATACTAGAAAAGTAACATTTGCAAAGCGAATGCATAATGTTTACCTTGGCACATGGTCTGGTCTGTTAATTCTTACTCAAACGCATTCATACATATGGTCAGATAGGAGTCTAAATCCCTCCTGCTATAAATTGCAACATGATGTAACCCAACACTAGTTACCATGGTGACAGACGTCAACAAATCAGGTCATTGGCCAGGTCAGAGGTTAGTGTTTGGAGAAGAAGAAGAAGAAGAAGGAGGAGGAAACTGAGGAAAAACAATGTTTTCCTTCGGTAAACATAATTAAATGGGCGTGATAAAAACCGTCTGAGGCTCTGTAACACCGGCTCCGCCCTAATGACGCAGAGATCATAGTGACTGCCCCCCCGAGATCTCTGGCAACTTTCCGCCCCCCCCCCCCCGAGGTCGTGGCCCCCCCCTCGCCCCCCCTTAGCCATTTCGCCCCACCTCCTATAAAATTAGCTATTTCGTCCAAACTTTAGTTTTATCATGTCCGAGTACACAAAGTTCTTTAATAATTCTAATCATAGTATCTGTACATGCATTCGCGAAGTTAATGTTTCGAGTTTTTTTTACCGAACGAGAAATGTTCCCTTTAGCAGTTTCTGTCAGTTAATGGGAAAAGATTTCCAAATCACATTGAGTCGAGTCTGGTCGGGAGAGTTTAACCGCGACTGGTGAGTCGAGAAGAAAAATTCGAGTCTGAGAGTGAATGTATTTAGAGGGTACCAGTTCTCTGTGCAGTTATAAACTAGCTTGTTAAAATATTACAAATTCAATTTTTGCAAAGCTTAAAGTATTTAACATTTCTGTAGGTTGTCGAGCGGGTTACACCGCACACGGGGATTCGTGCTTCAAGGCGTACAACCAAGTCAAAACCTACAGTCAGGCCAGACAGGTGTGTGCAGCGGACGGGGGGTTCCTCGCCATGCCGAAGGACAGAGACGTGGACGTCTTCTTGATGGACCTCAAGAACACCGTGGATCCCAACTCTCCTTTCTGGTTCGGCCTGAACAATCAGAACGGAGAGGGACAGTGGGCGTGGGAAGATGGGACTCCCTTTAACCTAACCGCAGACTGGACTGGGTGGCAGCCGGGGGAACCCAACAGTAACGGAGAAGGCTGTGTCAACCACCTCGGGGCCGGATGGAACGACGCGCCGTGCTCGTCCGCATCCAACTTTATCTGCCAGCTGAAGGACGGTATGTCAAAATTATGTCAACTTTACCTCCGCAAGTTAGTAACAGTGTTTTGGTCCGTTTCCTCAGCTCCAAATTGATAAATATCAATGACCCGCACCACATGGTTGTCACAACTGTCTTACAGTGATCCTTGAACGTGTCAACCAGAACGTGTTTTACATACAACTAGAAAAGTAACATTTGCAAATCAAATGCATAATGTTTACCTTCGGATACGGTCTGCTCTGTTAATTCTTACTCAAACACATTCACATTCATGTACATGTATATGGTGACAGGAGTCTAAATGCCTACTTTGAAATTGTAACACTGTATGTAACCCAACACCAGTTACTATGGTGACAGACGTCAACAAAAGAGGCCATAGGCCAGGTCAAAGGTTAGTGTTTGGAACAGAAGAAGAGGAAGAAGAAATGGAGCAAAAACAATATATTTTCTTCGGTAAACATAATGATGCTTGTGTTTGGTTAGATTGATGTAGCAAAGTGGCAGGGCCTACCCCCAGGGACTGGACACCATATATGGTGTTGGAATAAATTATGTAACAATACGGCGCTGGAAGGACTGGTCGCTATCAACCCGAACCTCGCTGTTATAAGTCAAAATAACCAGATCAGTACTCGTAAGAAAATTCAAACTCTACTACTGGATCAGTTACGGATTTTTATTTATTTCCGGACCTTTCGAGTGACATCCATCACTCTTCTTTAGCGTCACAAATGAACAGAGAACCGATTCACTCTTATATACAAGTAACTAGAAAAACCAGTTAAACAACAAGGTCCGTAAGAAGCTAATGTAAAAGAACGGTTACTCAATATACAGGTAATTAGAACTAGAAAAACCTGTTCAACAACCGTAAGAGTCTTTGTCATGTAAGGAAGGTTCCTATGGTAAGAAAGGTAGTTGGGCTGAACCATGTTACGGCAAACATTGCAAATGTTACAGTTCTACCTAACAGGCTGTTTCCTTACACAGCGATCCGCTGCCCCCCTGGGTACTTCCGGTGCGGACACGGACATGCCTGCACCCTGACCTGGAGGCGGTGTGACGGGAGGACGGACTGTTCGGACGGGAGTGACGAGGACGGTTGTGGTAAGCTGGCATCACAAAGTCCTTATAGTTCTCTCCTGCACAGACAGTTGCTCGTACAATAAACTTACTTGTAGATTAAATTCTTCCGTANACGGGACGGGGGGGGGGGGGGGCGTAAAAAGTGCCCGCGGCAACTTTGATGTCACCTAGCGTCTGAACGGCTAGCCGTAGAACGGCCAAACTTGGTGACTTTTCCTAGAATATTGTTGGCAACAATTCTCTATCATTGGAATAAGATAATGATTTTTTGTGTTGCCATGGCAACGGGTTTCTGACAGGCATTTTTTGCTAAATTTAGTACTTTTTGTTTCAACAATAGAATTTTATGGGTTTTATGTCAAGTTACTCATGGTTTCTAATATTAATAACATCCCATATAATTTTATGTAAATTTTATCATTAAATATGCATAATTTATGCTAATTTGATGACGTCATTGGCCAAAATCCAAGATGGCGGACCATATCATCAGAACAGGTATATACAGGTTATTTTCATTAAAATTTCATCAATACTTCCATTTCTTTTTACCAAAAAGGTTTTAAATGAAGGTCTTTAGTATGTTTTACAATGTATTTTAGGCTTTATCATGAAAAAAAACTATTTTTGAAAATTCAAGATTGATGATCCAAGATGGCGGATATCTTAAATATGCATTACGTCATTTTATGACGTCACCGGTGTTGCTATGGGCAACATAAGACTTAGTACACCATAATATTCTGTCATAAACACTTTTGGTACAGTTATGTTGAATACCATTTAGTTTTCAGGGAAAAACCTATTTAGACGATTTTGGCCAATAAAATCACATTAATGACGTCATAATGACGTCATATTACGTCATAACGACATAAAAATTGTAGATATGATAAATTTTTACTAGTACACCATTCTCTGAAAAATTTGGTGGTCATACGACATACCGTTCGCGAGTTCTTAGGGGGGGGGTCAAAGAGACCCCCCCCGGTCCCCCCATGTCAAAAAAAGCCCGGTCTAGGTAGGGTTAAATTCTTCTTTCCAGTGCACGAAGGTCATGATGTTAGGCATTATTTTTACTCCTGTTCCCGTCATGTTTTTCTCACAATACTAACTCCTATCATCCTAAGTCTGTTGACTGTTGGACATGCCCACAGATTACGTTTAATCACTCCCAATGTCTGTTTCGCCTTAGTTGTGATATTATTAACATGTGCACCCCACTTCAGTCCGCTTGTCAGCGTGACGCCCAGATACGGATGGATTTTTGTGGTTGCTAAAGCCTGGCCACAAAACTGGTAGCTAGTTGCATGTGGTGTTCGTTTATTTGTTATGTGCATAATGTAGCATGCGCGGTACAAAGGTCCCCGCGAATTCCGCGAATCTAAATATACCGCGGAAATTTGTAGACTTACAGTATTTTTTTTGCCGTAGCCGTTAATGCTGAAAAAGCTGAAAGTAACCAACAAAATAAATAGAAAGAATAGAATAGTAAAAGTACGATGATTTCACGATGCGGCCAAATGGTGACTTGGTGATTAAGAAACTGTGTTTAATAATTCTCAACTTGCAGAATTCTGAACGGATCATTTTTACATCTTTGTCAGTGCCTCCTGTCAAAGTTTAAAGAATGTGAATGGTGCAATGGCTATTTTGTAATATACAGAGTGCCTGACGATTCCTGTGGATTTCAACCTCGGCGGTAGACTTACAATGTTACCCAATCAGCTGGGTCAGACGACGTTTGAGGAGATACAGAATTCCTCTGTCGTGGAGCTGCTCAACAGTTCGTCCGCAAACGGACAGGACCGACATCCCGAGTTCCGGGAATTCGCATCTACAGTGATATTCCCGCGATGTGGTGTACCCAAAGAGAACGACACTACCTGCTCTTTGTCTCATCATGCAGACAACGCGACCTCGTGCATGTAAGTAAAGCATGCTTCGTTGCTAGTTGATCATTATAACAGTTTTTTGGTATCGTTAAGTTTAAAAAATCCACAATACTTTTTTTTAGATAAAATGGTTAACAATAAGTTCATTCACATACGTAAACGTTGTGCTTAAATTGCATTTGTTTTTGTGTTTTAAAAGTAAGAAAACCTCATGTCGATATTTCTAAATCTGCCTGTGTATTTAGGAACAAACCACTGCTACCGTGCCGTTCGTGGTGTGAGGAAGTCCTCAACATGGCTGATACCCAGATGAAGAAGCGGTTCGAATTCCCTACCTGTGACTTGTTTCCACCACCGCAGCACGGCTGTTGGAACCCTGAACCAGCGACAAGGAACGGCGAAGGTGAAGAGAAAAATAGACCCAAGACTTTCCGCTGGCAGTAGCATTTGTGTCAAATATTTCCATTCCCTGATATTTAAGTACATGCATTTAGAGATGCATTAATTTGTTAATTTATAGGATAAGTTGTTGATTTATGGCCGTTTTTCCTCCTCAGTTTGCTACCACGGTGGCGGCATGAACTACCGCGGCACCCGGAGTACAGCCAAGTCCGGGGCAGAGTGTGTGAAGTGGTCCGCAGCACAGGAAGGGTTCTACACAGCCGCGTACCCCTGGGCCAACATGGACAACAACTACTGCCGTAACCCTACCGGTCTTAAGCGGCCATTTTGTCTGGTGGAAGATGGCAGCCAGCAGGAATGCGACGTCGTTTCCTGCAGTAAGAACCATACCTTGTTCCCGATTTCAGACATTTTATACAACTCTAATCTGACGATATTCCGCCTTTAGTGGCATTGTGCTGACAAAGTCACAGGCATTCCTCTCTGTCTCTGCGCTTTACACTATTTTTATGCGAGAACAAAATACGTAGGAGTGATCTAAAGATGCTGTGTGAAGCTGTAAGGTAACTCTATGTTGTACTGGCAAATATTTGGTCTCTTTGCTTTTTATACTGAGTTCGATTCTGGTCCTTTTCTCCATAATAATGATTGCTTTACCTGACCATTGCCTATGCCAACTCAGATACGAGAGGCTGCTGGGACATCGGTCCTCCTGACTACGGCAATAGAAGCCCTATGAAGAGGTTCTACTACGTGGGAGAAATGATCGCCTTCACCTGCAACGAGGGGTACCACATAGAGCCCGGGTATCCTACCGAACTGAGATGCGTCGAGGGAGGCATGTGGGAGGATAACAAGCCCAGTTGTTCAGGTGAATGACTAGGAATGTCTGAGGCCGTGTCTATACGGAATCACCCAAGGCGGTTTACATGTGGTTTACCCCGAAGCCGGTTTCAAGTGGCTCCATGTGAACGCCCCGAAATCACATTGAAAGCGCCTCGATTCCAAGCCACTTCTAGAGGTGGTTTCGAATCGGTTTCCCCGCATCGCGATTTGCGTCTGAACGCAATGTGATTTCAATGTAACTTCGCCTGGTCATGGATTACGGGGTGATATTTCTTTTTTTTTTATATGCAATACCAACTTTTACGTGGCAGCAACTTAAAGAGCAGTAATGGGCAAATAATGTGTCCGTTCTAGGGCGAGCTTCATCGCCTCTGGCGGGACCACGTCGGCATTCGGCCGAGATACGCCGGGAGGGGGGCATCAGCAAGCAGGTCGTTGACCTCTGACATTAATAACACGCCACCTTGCGTGTTATCATCAAACAGCAATAAATGTAGCTCAAGCGTATTGTGTTCGGACACGGTTTCACAGGTGTGTGTGGCACGTGGACCAGATGTGAGGAATGTGAGTTACCCGAATCGCGGTTTGGGTGATTCCGTATAGACACGGCCTGAGACTAGAATGTCTGAGTAAGCCTGCATTTTCTACACTTGCACATTATAATTTGATGCAGTTAAGAAGAATAATTAAGACTCTTGCTTATTGCCAAATCAAAAATATTTTTTCCAATTGATTAAGAGTGAACTTTGTATATGAGCATGTTAAGCTTTCTACCTCCCTTGCACTGTCATGTTTCATTGCCTTCGCCAAGAAGGTTATGTTTTCAGGGGCGTTCGTGTGTGTGTGTGTGTGTGTGCTTGTGTGTGTTTGTGAACACGATAACCCGAGAAAGCCTTGATGGGTTGTCTTTGGTAGGTCTTAAGCTTGATGAAACCTCAAAATGATTAGATTTTTGACCCCCTAGCGGCTTGTTATGGTACTGCAGCAGAAGTTCCGGTTTTGATATCTCATGATCTAGACATGCTAGGGTCACGAAATTTAGATGGTAGGTAGCTCTAGTGCTGGGGAAGAAGTGACATGAGACCCCTAGCTTTTTGCTCTGGAACTTCAGGAAGGTTTGTTGAAAAATGTTTAAAGGAGGATAACTAGAAAACCGGTTGACGGGTCGTCGTGATTTTTGGTATGTATGTAGCCTTAGTGATTTATTTATTTATTGGTTTAGCTGTACAGAGGACAGTCAAGGTTGCCCAACTAGTGCCAGGACTATTTTAAAGGGCTAACCTTGGGGACAGAGACAACAACATACATACATACATGTCAGATGAAAATGGGGAATTAAAATCAGAATTATCAGCTATAGAATTTACATAGTTATAGCAGGACTTGGCTAAGGTGCACTAAGATCAGTAATATTTACATTGGGAGGTCAGGGTCAGCGATCATAATGTATGGATCTCCGAGCGAGGTCTGGAGATTGGTTTTGAAAGATGTAATGGTGGGGGCTGTGCGAACATTGGAAGGTAGCGTGTTCCAAAGCAAAATGGCTCTATGGAAGAAGGTTTTTTGGCCCCTTGTACTTTTGGATAATTGTGCTGTCAAGTGATTGCTGTTTCTCAAGGAGTAACGAGACTCAATGGCTGACGCCCGGGTTCTGGGAAGCAGGCTTAACATATGTGATGGGCAGTTTCCGTTCAGTAGTCTGTAGAGGGTGGTAACAGTATGCAGTTTACGCCGGTGTTGGAGTGAAGGTAAGGACAGCTGAGAGTACAGGCTTTAGTACGAAGGATACGGGAGTCCGAAGTTACCGCTAATCAACCTGGCGGTTTGGTACTGGACGGACTCTAGTAATCTTTGGTTTTGTCTTGTGGTACTTGCCCAAACGATGTCTGCATACTCCAGACACGGTCTCGTAATGATTTTGTAGAGTTTGAGGAGGATGTCTGTGGGTATCTTTTTCCGGAGGGCACATAGCATGCCCGCCGAACGCCTGGCCTTGGAGGAGACTGATTCAACGTGTTTTGTCCACGACAGTGTGTTGGTAAGAATGATCCCGAGGTGTTTGTGACTGTCCACCGGTTGCAGGATGGTTCCGTCGAAGGTGACTGGAGAGACTGATGGTGGAAGTTTTCGGGTTGTGATGTACATGACCTTGCATTTTTCTCTATTGGCTTCAAGCTTCCACAGTTTTAGCCAGTTTGAAACAGAACATAGGTCCGTGTTTAGTGAGTTTACAACGTGTTGAATGGATCGGTGGGTAGCAGAGAGTGATGTATCGTCAGCGAATAGGTTGGGTTCGCACCGGCTGCAGTTTGAGGTCAAATCGTTAATGTACAATATAAAGAGAGATGGTCCGAGAACTGAGCCCTGTGGAACACCAGCCAGCGGTGATTTCCACTCTGACGCTACTCCTTGGATAACCACGCGCTGACGTCTGTTGCTAAGATAACTGATAAACCAGTTATGCAAAGGGCAACAGATTCCGTATGCCTGCAGCTTTTTTAACAGTCCCGTGTGCCAAACCTTGTCGAACGCCTTACGTAGGTCCAAAAAACACAGCCCACAATCTCTCCTCTGTCCATGGCCTGGGCCCACTCCTCTACTAAGCGGGCAAGTTGGAGCGTTGTGTTGTCATGGGTCCTAAAACCGCTTTGGTGGTTGGACAGTATTGGAGCGAAGTGGTCTGCTAAGTATTTGTTTACCAGGGTTTCCAGGACTTTCGGGATTGTATTAAGTAAGGATATGGGCCGATAGTTGTTGGGAAGGTGGCGACTGCCGGCTTTATGGACAGGGGTTATGTTTGCTTCTTTCCATCCAGACGGTACTTGGCCATGAGTCAGTGACGTGTTGTAGAGCCGAGTTAAGGGCACTGATATGGAGTCTGCTACTAATCGGAGGAGATTAGGGGTAATGTTGTCGGGACCACTCGACTTGCCTATCTTCAGGGCGTTCAGTTGCTCACGTACCTCTTCTACAGTGAGCGGGAGTTTACCCAGGGTTGTCTCAGGGACGTTGGATGGGTGGAAGACAGGGGGGACTCATGTCTGTCAGGGAGGTCTGTTTGCTGGATAAAGAAGTTATTGAGTGCGTTAGCCTTTTCTCCGGGAGTTTCTAGAATAGTTGCCCCAACTTTGAGGGATGGCACACCGGATGACGCTTTTCCAAGAGCAGACTTTGCGTAGGTGAAAAGTCGCCTCGTGTTACTATTTTCCACGTCGTTCATGACCTCCTGGATGAATGCTGCTTCGGCTTTCCGCGTAAGGGCGGTCACCCGATTTCTTTGCTTTCGGAAATCAGACCAGACTTGGGTAGAGTTTTCCCTTTTCGCCTTGGAGTGAAGACGATGCTTCCTGTGGATTACGACTCTAATTTGCTTATTTCCATAGATCCATGGCTTAGCTGTTCTGTGGATGGAGACCAACTTATGTGGTATGTGTTGCTTACATATAGTCATAAACATGTCATACCAGGAATCCCAGATGTCGTCCATTGAGTTATAAATAAAATTTGTGTCCCAAGGGGCGCGCTTTATGTCTTCACAAAGAGCGTCAACATTAGCTTTTTTATAGAGCCATACTAACCTTCTTCCATGGGGGCGAGTTGCTTTGAGATTTAATACAGTTACAGTTGTCAAATGATCTGAGTCTCCAAGAGGAGCTAGTGTTCCAGTTTGATGGTGCATAGCAGGATGTGAGGTTACTATTAAGTCCAATAGGTTGGCGCCACGTGTCGGTTCGTGGAGTATTTGCTCCAGGCCGTGGTTCAGGAAGATGCTCTCGAGACGGCGTCCAGGGTTGTCTGTTGTGTTGGTGTTTAGCCAGTCACTATTTTTCGAATTAAAGTCTCCCAATCTTGATAGATTGTGTGTGGCTTGTTGCTCGCTGGACTTGGCTTTGGTAGACATCAAAGAAGGAGTCGTCGGACGAAGGTGGTCGGTACGTGCAATTAAGTAGAATGTTTACATGTGATTTTATAATTTCACACCAAACGGATTCAACATCATCGTTTTCTAAGTCGCTACGCCTATTGCTATAAAAAAGGTCGCTTACGTAAATAGCTACACCTCCTCCGTGTCGATTCCTATCTTTACGGTACAAATTGTAACCTTCTACTTCAAGATCGCAGTCACTGATTTCACTACTTAACCAGGTTTCACTTGTGATGTTTGACAAGTGATGTTTGACATAATAATACAACAATTACGCAAATATGGATGTAATTTGCATAGTTTATGAGGACATTCTATAAATAAGCTGCATTCCATGATAGGACAATTCAAGCTTGTGACATATATGTAGTTAAGAACGAGAGAAACACAGGCAGGTGGATTGCATAATTTATGAGGAAATGGCATTCTTTGTTAAGATAAGACTGTCTTTTGGTGTAGAATATGATCAACAGATATAATTCATGCAATTTAGGATCCTATTTGCATAATCAGGGTGATTAATATAATATAATTTCTGAGTCATAAAGGCTAACATCATTTGGCGAAGGTATGAGATCGTGGAACTCTAGTTTATTATGGCTTCACCAACACCACGTAGTGATGTAGTGAAGGCATATTGTTTTTTCTCATATCCCTTCTTTTTCTCCTCCTCCTCCTCATGCCAATTCTTTAAATGAATTCAACATCTTCATTTTTGGGCTAAATGACCTGGCAACTACACCCAAACGTTTTTTATTCATTTTTTTGATACAGGCTTTTAGAATGGTTTAATTTGGGCTATTTGGCTGTGTCATTGGTAGTATGCTGTAGCAGTATGCGGTGCCATATTTGGGCATGGGGGCAGGAGCTCCAAGTCCAAATATGGGTATGCAGACAGTAGCAGGTGTGGCCATGTTTGCAGATGTGCAGGTAGAAGTTTTGGCCAGGAAAAAGGAGAGTACTGAGTTGTAAAGTGATGGATATATTTCATATACCTTGCCTTAACCAAATTTTAAACATCTTCCAACCAAATTAGAATAACAACAAGAAGAAGAAAAGGTCAAAGTCACAGGCATTCCCCTCAGCCTCTGTGCCTGTGCTTAACACTATTTTTATGCGAGAACAAAATACGTAGGAGTGATCTAAAGATGTTGTGTGAAGCTGTAAGGTAACTCTATAATGTTGTACAGCCCCAGGCCAAATATTTGGTCTTTTTGCTTTTTATACTCAGTTCGATTCTGGTCCTTTTCTCCATAATGATGATTGCTTTACCTTATTATTCCCTATGCCAACTCAGCTACTAGAGGCTGCTGGGACATCGGTTCTCCTGACTACGGCAATAGAAGCCCTATGAAGAGGTTCTACCACGTGGGAGAAAGGATCGCCTTCACCTGCAACAAGGGGTACCACATAGAGCCCGGGTATCCTACCGAACTGAGATGCGTCGACGGGGGCATGTGGGAGAATAACAAGCCCAGTTGTTCAGGTGAATGACTATTAGGTCTGAGTAAGCTTGCATTTTCTACACTTGCACATTATAATTTGATGCAGTTTAGAAGAATAATTAAGACTCTTGCTTATTGCCAAACCGAAAATATTTTTTTTCAAATTGATTAAGAGTGAACTTTGTATATGAGCATGATAAGCTTTATACCTGTGTGTGTGTGTGTGTGTGTGTGTGTGTGTGTGTGTGTAGTGTGTGTGTGTGTGTGTGTGTGTGTGTGTGTGTGTGTGTGCTTGTGTGTGTTTGTGAACACGATAACCCGAGAAGGCCTTGACGGATTGTCTTGATATTTTGTAGGTCTTGATGAGACCTCAAAATGATTAGATTTTGGACCCCCTAGCGGCTTGTTATGGTACTGCAGCAGAAGTTCCGGTTTTGATATCTCATGATCTAGACATGAGGTCACAAAATTTAGATGGTAGGTAGCTCTAGTGCTGGGGACGAAGTGACATGAGACCCCTAGCTTCTTGCTCTGGAACTTCAGGAAGGTTTGTTGAAAAATGTTTAAAAGAGGATAACTAGAAAACCGGTTGACGGATCGTCGCGATTTTTGGTATGTATGTAGCCTTAGTGATGTTTGACATAATAATAACAAATATGCAAATATGGATGTAATTTGCATAGTTTATGAGGAAATTTTATAAATAAGCTGCATTCCATTATAGGACTATTCAAGCTTGTGACATATATAGTTAAGAACGAGAGAAACACAGGCAGATGCATTTGCATAATTTATAAGGAAATGACATTCTTTGTTAAGATAAGACTGTCTTCTGGTGTAGAATATGATCAACAGATATAATTCATGCAATTTACGATAATAAACAATCAAGTCTTTTTAATCTAAAACACACCAAACACGTGAACAACTTTCAAACTTATAAAGTTTTATTAAATGTCTTTTTATGTCAAATGTAAAGCCAAAACATACCATCATGATCAATCTCAAAGTTTTAAAAAATTGTTGATTTGTATCTTGCTAACAATAGGTATGTATTGTCTCTTCCTCAGTGGATTTCAAGGATAGGCTGAAAGACGACCTGCTCGATGGCTACAATCTCAACCTGGCACCTGGTTCTGACAGCCGTATCCAGCCGGAGAGTAGTACTCAGCCAGGGAGCCGTACTCAGCCTGACAGCCGTACTCAGTCGGAAAGCCGTACTCAGTCGGAAAGCCGTTCTCAGTCGGAAAGCTGTACTCAGTCGGAAAGCCGTACTCAGTCGGAAAGCCGTACTCAGTCGGAAAGCCGTACTCAGTCGGAAAGCCGTACTCAGTCGGAGAGCCGTACTCAGTCGGAAAGCCATACTCAGTCGGAAAGCCGTACTCAGTCGGAAAGCCGTACTCAGTCGGAGAGCCGTACCGAGACAGAGCAGACTGAGAGCCGCAGACGCAGAGCAGCAGAGGCAGAGAACCCTACTGAGATTGAAAAGAACATCCGCCCCGTCATCAGCTTTTACACTGACAACCCTAGCTACACTGACATCCCTAGCTACACTGACAAACCTACCGGCACTGACAACCCTACCGGCACTGACAAACCTGGGATTGAAAACCAAATCCGACCCGTCATCAGCTTTAATGGATCTGTAGAACAGATCGTCGGCTTGGTGAGTTCAGTATCTGTAACACTTTTTAAATCCTCGTTGGTTTATGACAAATACACAGTTCTTGGAGGAAACAAAACATAACTGACCGATGCTGTAACTTTTCTTTCAGGAGGAAAAGAAGGAGCAGCTGGTTGCCTCTGTCGTCATCCATTTCGTAAGTCCACATAGTTATTAAATATCTGTGCACTTAAGATAATATCACATTCATATAATCATGTATCTTTTTTAGGAGGTTTTTTGGGCTTATCTATAATTTTGCTGTAGATTTCCTTGCTATAATGTACACAGTTATAATTTATTTGTTTCTTATTACTCCAGACATGGCAGGACAGCCGGCTGAGCTGGGATCCAAAGTACTACAACAACATCTCGAATATCAGCGTCCCTGGCAGCAGCATCTGGACCCCTACTCTTACTCTGAAAAGGAAGTATGTAGTGTCTTCTAAAACTGTTATCATTGAATCGAGAGTGAATCATACCTGATCTGTTGTTTTTTGAATATCCTGAACTGCAGAAAATAGCATTTTAATTGTAAGATAATTAATGAACAGAACATTACACTGATTTAAAGCCCTGTATGCCAGTATGTTACATTTGAAGTACCCGGTAAATGAAATAATCGAATACTGTAGTGCCAAACATTCTACCTTAAAATATAACAAAATGACCGATAATATTTTTGATGACGCTGGGATACAATGCTGGGAATGGTTTCATCAGTTTCACACTAGATGATAGTTATCTTACCAGTAAATTAACCCTATCTAGACGTGGGGGGGGGGGGGGGCTAAAAGTGCCCGCGCCAACTTTGATGTCACATAGCATCTGAACGGCTAAGGCTAGAACGACCAAACTTGGTGACTTTTCCTAAAATATTGTTGGCAACAATTTTCTATCATTGGAATAAGATAATGAGTTTTTGTGTTGCCATGACAACGGGTATCTGACAGGCTTTTTTTGCTAAATTTAGTAATTTTTGTTTCAACAATAGAATTTTATGGGTTTTATGTCAAGTTACTCATAATTTCTAATATTAATAACATCCCATGTAATTTTATGTAAATTTTATCATCAAATATGCATAATTTATGCTAATGTAATGACGTCATTGGCCAAAATCCAAGATGGCGGACCATATCATCAGAACAGGTATATACAGGCTATTTTCCTTAAAATTTCATCAATACTTCCATTTCTTTTTCAAAAAAAGGTTTAAATGAAGGTCTTTAGTATGTTTACAATGTATTTTAGGCTTATCACGGAAAAAAAACTATTTCTAAAAATTTAACATTGATGATCCAAGATGGCGGATATCTTAAATATGTATGACATCATTTTATGACGTCACCGGTGTTGCTATGGGCAACATAAGACTTAGTATACCCTAATATTCTGTCATAAACACTTTTGGTAAAGTAATGTTGTATACCATTTAGTTTTCAGGGAATAGCCTATCTAGACGGTTTGGGCCAATAAAATCACATTAATGACGTCATAATGACGTCAGATTACGTTCTAATGACAAAAAAATTGTAGATATGATCAATTTTCACTAGTACACTATCCTCTGAAAATTTGGTAGTCATACGACATACCGTTAGCGAGTTCTGAGGGTGGGGGGTCAAAAGAGCCCCCCCCCCGGTCAAATCTTGCTCAAAAAAGCCCGGTCTAGATAGGGTTAACTTGTCGAAAACTGTTGCTTACTCCACAGTGCTGATCCTTTATACCAAGGCCTACCAAAGGACGTACCGGTCTGGCTAAGTAGCAATGGTCAGGTAACCTGGAGGGTAGAAACCCTGACCACCACCGTGTGTGATGCGGACCCCTTCTACTTCCCTGAAGACACCATGGAATGCAACATCTGCTTTGCTGCATTTTCTGCAAACATCGGTATGAATGCAGAAGTATTTTATGAATAAATGTCGATATCAACATAATTTTTATGAAGAAAGTTCAATAAATAAAAAATGATTCAAATAAAATACTAGAGTTCCCCGATCTCATACCTTCGCCAAATGATGTTAATCTTTATGACTGACAAAGTTTAGATTAGATTATTCCCCCCTGATTTAAGAAATAGGAACCTAATTTTCATGAATTATATCATTTTATCATAATTTTAACCAAAAGACAGTCTTATATTAACAAATAATGCATTCTAGCATTTCCTAATAAATTATGCAAATGAGGTCCTGATTTGAATAAATTATGTTTAATGATGTTCACCTCAATTTAACTTTCAAATACCACAAGTATGAAATTCCAGGCAGTTATCATTACAATCATCAGTCATGATTATAACGTTTTCTCAATAATTATGCAAATTAAGTCATTATTAACATAATCAATATGTTCCTGTGTTTCTCTCATTGTCAATTACCAATGTCACAAGCTTCAATTGTCCTATCATGGAATGCAGCTGATTTATAGAATTTCCCCATAAATTATGCAAATTACAGCCATATTTGCATAATTGTCACACAATTATATCAAGCATCACATAAGCTACCTACATACCAAAAATCACAACGATCCGTCAACCGGTTCTTGAGTTATCCCCTTTTGAATATTTTCAAGAATTTATCCCTGCAGTTCCAGAGCAAGCCGCTAGGGGGCCTAAACTCACGTCACTTCTTTCCCAGCACAAGAGCTACCTACCATCTAAATTTCATCACCATAGCATGTCTAGATCATGAGATATCAAAACAGGAAGTTCAGCTGCAGTACCATAATAAGCCACTAGGGGGTCCAGAATCTAATCATTTTGAGGTCTCATCAAGACCTACCCACCTACCAAGTATCAAGACAATCCATCAAGGCCTTCTCAAGTTATCGTGTTTACAGACAGACACACACACACACAAACACACACATACACGAACGCCCCTGAAAACATAACCTTCTTGGCGAAGGTAACAAGTTTTTTTTTGAGCATTCCGACCACTGTTTACCACGAATGGGATTCTTTGAACATTCCGGTCGTAGTTCATTGAAAATTCCAGGAATTCCTTTGTAGAGGTGACTGTTTACCACTGATGCATATGATAATGATGATGATATTAGTGATTATATTACGGTGTTGCTAAGGGCTCATTCCCATATACAATAAAGAAAAATCAGATTCTTGTCAGTATAAAATCTGATTTTGTCAGCATACTTTTTGGCTACCCTTGTCATGAAAAAGTTAACTATTTTGCTGATAGTTTGTTGCAATGATTTGTCGAACACAGAATGCCAAGATGGCAGTCCCTGTGGTGTCCTGTCTAACCAACAACTGGAGGGCGAATGGTACCGGAAGGACATGCTCTTTGCAAAAGACAAGACGGAGGCGTGCTTCACTGTTCAGCTGGAGAGGATCCCGCTGTTCCACATCGCCACTACTGTTGGACCCTGCGTCATCCTGGTGGCACTGATGGTCATCACATTCGTCATGCCACTGGACAGGGGGGACCGGATCTCGTTCGGAGTGACCATTCAACTCTCCATGGTCGTGTCTCTCGTGTTCGTGACGGATGTGCTTCCTGTGAAGGGAGCGCTGCCATTTTTCGGTGAGTAAACATAGATGTGACCAAGCTGTGAATGTTTTCCTTAGTATTCTAAACTACATCGAGACAAAAATGCCTTTCCATTTATTTTGTATTATGTAACTCCTGCATTACAATCCAAGTAGAATTTATCTGGTCGACATTTATGTAAACCTGTAGCTACATGTATCATTCGCATGTCCTGACAGATTACAAAAAGGAAATTTTGCAAAAATTCATTTGTTATTCTTGAAACATTCACTATAATGTTAGGCCATCCTGGTACTAGTAGCTTTCTACCATGTATGATACTCCCGGAATATGTCAGTAACTCTTTATGATCTCGGAACATTTCGGTAACTCTTAACCATGATAAATATTGCCGGAATATGTCGGTAACTGTTAACCATGATAAATATTCCCGGAACATGTCAGTAACTGTTAACCATAATAAATATTCCCGGAACATGTTGGTTACTGTTAACCATGATAAATATTCCCGGAATATGTCAGTAACTGTTAACCATAACAAATATTCCCGGAACATGTTGGTAACTGTTAACCATGCTAAATAATCCCGGAACATGTCGGTAACTGTTAACCATAACAAATATTCCCGGAACATGTCAGTAACTGTTAAATATAACAAATATTCCCGGAACATGTTGGTAACTGTTAACCATGATAAATATTCCCGGAACATGTTGGTAACTGTTAACCATGATAAATATTCCCGGAACATGTCGGTAACTATTAACCATGGTAAATATTCCCGGAACATGTCGGTAATTGTTAACCATGGTAAATATTCCCGGAACATGTCGGTAACTGTTAACCATAATAAATATTCCCGGAACATGTTGGTAACTGTTAACCATGATAAATATTACCGGAACATGTCAGTAACTATTAACCATGCTAAATAATCCCGGAACATGTCGGTAACTGTTAACCATAACAAATATTCCCGGAACATGTTGGTAACTGTTAACCATGCTAAATAATCCCGGAACATGTCGGTAACTGTTAACCATAACAAATATTCCCGGAACATGTCAGTAACTGTTAAATATAACAAATATTCCCGAAACATGTTGGTAATTGTTAACCATGATAAATATTCCCGGAACATGTCGGTAACTATTAACCATGGTAAATATTCCCGGAACATGTCGGTAATTGTTAACCACGGATGCTGTTATAGCCGCGCTGATCGTCGTGTGCATGGCGCTGATGGGACTTTTCCTCTTCTTTACCTTGGGCATCATCAGCATTCACGACAGGGAGGGGAGCCTGTCTCCAATGGCGAAGACCTTCTTTCTCCGCTTCATGGCAACGTACGTACTACTCGTAACATTATCTCAGGACAGACTGAATAGCTATGCACATAAATAACTAAATACATCGAGAGTGAAACCCCTATGTTTATATTTATTGTTGCTTCTAATTTTGTTGGTTTGTTTTCAAGATTTAATTGATTTAACAAGTTATTATTCAAACCCTTTACACCTGTCAGCTAAGAACAAATTACATGTAGTCAACTTATCTGAAAATCAGGAAATATTCGTTATTTATTTTTCATGCGATGGAGTCCGATTAGCAACTTTCGACAACTTTTTTTCTGCATCTGCTACCCTTCCAAGTTGCACATTAATTACATGTAATATAATATATAAGATTCTTATCTTTGGTAGATTCAGCCTAAATTTCCTAGTATAAATCTTTGTAACATTTGTGCTTCTTTGAAGAAAACGTTTGGACAAAAAATATAGTTGTAAATATGAGTGAACGTAGAAAATATCCACATCATCTCTTTTTTTGCGACGTCTCAGGAGCCTAATGGTACATTATTGTGTGCAGTTGCAAGAATTCTAGGAATTGTACAAGCATTTTTTCCACAGGCATGGAATGTCCACAGGCATGTCTCCCAGCTCTGTTGACATGCCCACATTCCTGGAAACCCTTGGGAGAACCTGTCTACCCCGGATGCCCTACATGTACTTTCTGTAACCCCGGGGCTCATTCACTATACACTCAGGGGAGGGGAGGGTACCAAGGCTTCCTAAGAACCATGAAATGATGGCAGTGCCATGCTAACAATAACCCTAACAGCAACCACCGTCACCATGGCAATGTATGTTTTCATTGCCAGTCTTGTTTCTCTTTCAGGTGTCTTCTGCTCGGAGACCTGACAGAGAAGAAGGTTGGAAGCGACGATGGAGAGACTTGCCCCAGCAGCAAGAAGCGGACCAATCGCGCCCCCCCTGCCGATGACTTGGTGATGGTCGCCGTGCAAAGCCCGGCTGATGTCCGCGAGCACGCCCGTCAGCCGTCCGGGCCGCCCACGCGCCTGGAGGCCGCGGTCTCACGCCTGGAGGTTGCCGTGTCCTCCGCCTCCCGTAACATGGAGGAGCTGGCCGAGGCCATGAAGAACGAACAGAAGGTAGATTATTTCTGTAATTTTAAAGTAAGCATTGAATCAAGCGTTTTTATATTGCATTATTGCACTTTTAACGTGTTGTAATTTTTAATGTTAACTTGATATGCAACAAATAGGTTTTTTTATCAAATGCAACAAATAGGTATTTATCAAATGTAACGAACTTTTATCAAATAGCTGTATTATAAGCGCATTTTGTGTTTTAAACCCTTCTCAATTCAGCCAAATATGGCTGCTTGCAGGCTTTTGTATGTATCTGTATGGTACAAATAAACAAGTCTCTCTCTCTCTCTCTCTCTCAAGGTGTCTGACTTCACTCTGCTGGCTAAGGTCCTTGACAGGCTCTGCCTTGTCATGTACGTCATCAGCATTGCCGTGGCCGTGCCCTTGACCATGCACCTCGGCAAGTAAATTAGCGTGGGGTAAACGTGTCTTAACACAACCCAAAAGTGCGACTTCAGGGCTCGAAATACTGGGTGCATGTGCACCTTATAGTGCACCCAAAATTGGAGCTGTGCACCCATTTTTTTTCTGTGGGAGCACCGGGGCACCCACATATTTTTTAAGTATTTTGGTACATTTTAAATGTATACAGTAATGCAGGATATTCTTAGCATCTGTCAGATGGCAAGTGTCAGAAAAATAATAAAATCTTTGTTGTCGTACTTGTTTAAGATTTTGAAGTTAGCTTCCATTTCGGATTCAAGCTCAGAAGAGGAGCAGTAAGATATGTTATTAGGTTTTGTTTTATATGGTGCACCCCAAAAAATTTTGTGCACCTAATTTTTTAGATTAGATGCACCAGTACACCTATTGACAAAAATGAATTTCGAGCCCTGGACTTGATTATTATGATTATTATGCATTGATTCAGCTTTAAGTAACATGCATGTGACGTCAGGACATGCCCTTATAAAGGGTTACAGTCCTGTAAGAACGTTAGTAAGGTAGTAACCCCATTGGTGGAACATACATGCTAAATTTCCATCTTCAATTAATCAATACCATACGAATGTGAATGTGTGTAAAGCCTATGGAGCATATAAAACAGACAACTTATATAGCTAAGTTAATTTACATATCTAACCGGAAAGACTTGTGCTGTTTTTAATGTGAATGTGTGAAAAGCCTATGGAATAGTTAACCCTATTCAGACCGGGCTTTTTTGGGTAATTTCAATTATTACGACACCTTTCGTGTAATTATGACATCATATATCGTCATCATGATGTAATTTAGCACGTCAGCAGAACGTACTGCGTCTGCGAAGAACCCTGAATTTTTTCCGATTTTCGGTGGATTTTTGGTCAACGTTGCATCAGAATTTTGCGGCAGACAATATTTTGTCCGACATAACATTTGGAAGCTACAAACGGGATAGCAACCTTATATGAGCAAATACAATCTTATATGAGACGTTCTTCTAAAGTGCTATGTACAATACATTACGGGTTTTGCGCAGGTGCAGTACGTTCTGCTGACGTGCTATGTAATTTATGTGATTTTTTGCCTAAAACCGTTAAAATGTGTTTTTCCCATTAAACTCTGAGGAATACAACCAAACTTCAACAACGAAAAGTGTCTATTTTAAGATAATATTAATGGCTACTAAAACTCTGACGTCACAATGACGTTATAAAATGACATATAAAATATAATGACGTTATAAAATGACATCTAAAATTTGTGGCATATCTAAGATGTCGGCCACCTTTTATCGCAAATCTTGAATTTCTGAAATTACATTTTTTCCAGATACAGCCTCAAAACGCAATGCTCATATGAATGTTTTATGTGAAAAATACGGAGTTGTGATGAAAAATTAGTGCAAAACGTGGTTTCACCAGAGCTAATAATATTTTCCGGCATCTTGGATTTTGACCAATGACGTCATCAAATTAGCGTGAATTATGAACATTTAAAGATAAAAATTATATACAATTATATAAGTCGTTGTTCATGTTAGAAAGGAAGTATAATAAAAAAACAGAAAATTTTAATGTTTCAACCCAAATAACTGAATTTTCCAAAAAGTGCCTAAAAAGAGGGAAAGTTTAGGAAAAGTCACCAAATTTTACTGTTCTAGCGCAAGCCGTTCAAGTTGGCGCGGGCTT